GCTGTCAGTGAAACATTTCTGGCAGCTGTGAGCAGAGGATGTGTGTGGACTTCATTTACTTCGCCTCCTCCACTTGCCTTTTTACCCCAGCAACAAGGCTAGTGCGCGACAGCGTGGGTGTGCTACGCTAGTCATATTTTCATTTGAACTGCCACTATGTTTGGCAGTAGACTACACTGTGTGTTAGTATGTACTCTGCAATCTTTGCCATCACCCAAGCCTGATTTAGACATCTCCCTGAGGGATTAAAGAGCTTCTAAACAGTCAATTTAACGTCATCGCTTTGCTAATCTAGCCACATTCCAGCCGAGCTCTGCAGATGAGCCCGCATGCTGAACCAAACCCAGTCAAAACATCATAACCCTGCTATCAAGAGCCGGGAAAGCTGGCACCGAAGTCAAAATGTCCTCCATAATCAGAGTGAATGTGAAGGAGGTTTAGTGGTGAACTGAACAATTCATGCTCTCTGTAATGTATAGCGTGGAAAAGCAACATTCAATTAGGGAAGGATTTCTGGCTTATCTTTTGTCTCCCTAAAGATTAATTTCTTAACATGTAAGATGACAAGTTTACTTGGTCAAATCTGTGAAACCCTGACTCTTCAAGATACTGAATAAAATTAAAGTGAAATGGGAATAGGCACATAACACCTGACCAAAACTGAACTAATTTTCCTACCTGATCAATTTCTGCAGCGCTTTCCAAATCTAATTCAGCACATTTTAAAGAAATGCACAAATAAAATAAATACATTATGCATACTAATATGAATAAGAGGTGAAATGACACTGAAATGTACTATTTAAAAAGGTGTTTGTTTTATTATATTATTGATAGAAAATCTAGATATTGAACAACATAATGTTCTTAGTCTTTCTTTTCTGTAATGAGGCAGCCGAAAAAGAATAAAAATTTTACACGGAATTAGAAAATCAAATACAATTTATTGCATAATTAAGATATTTTTAATATTACTCTAACTGGCAACTTTATACACCTTACTAGTACTGGGTTGGACCCTCTTTTGCTTTCAGAAATGTAGTTTTTCCAAGTTCTACCAGGAAGATCTAATGCCATGTCACTCATCACAATTCGTTCCAACCAATAGCCAAACAAGAGAAATAGAGAGAAATAGAGAAATAGAGAAACAAGGAATCTATATAAGCGGTCCATTCATTTCATTCATTTGGTTGCAGGCACCGATGCAGACGTTCACCCACCATCCTCCCCACCTAAACCAGGTTTGCCCTGTCTGAGGAAGGGGGGGAGGCTCAGTCCCTGCCTTCGTCCTCGGCAGTCATAGCTGAAATCTAAAAGCTTTCAAACCAAGCTACGCTAAAGAAGTCTTATGTTTTGTTAAATAATACTTTTGTTAAATAATACTAATCAAAAAATGTAATTCAATATGATAATTATCTCCCTGGTCTTTCTGGTAGAACTGCCTTAATCCTTCGTGGCATAGATTCAACATGATACTGGAAATATTCCTCAGAGATTTTGGTCTATTTTGACATGATAGCATTATGCAGTTGCTGCAGATTTGTCAGCTGCACATCCATGATGCGAATCTTCAGTTCCACCACATGCCAAAGGTGCTCTATTGGATTGAGAACTGGAACCAGTCTGGCCATTCTGCTCTGACCTCTGGTTTCAACAAGGCATTTGTGCACACAGAACTGCCGCTCACTGGATATTTGCTCTTTTTGGACTATTCTCTGTAAATCCTAAAGATGGTTGTGCATGAAAATCCCAGTAGATCAGCAGTTTCTGAAAGACTCAGATCAACCCGTTTGGCACCCAAAACCATGGCACGTTCAAAGTCACTTAAATTATCTTCCCCATTCTTATGCTCAGTTTGAACTGCAGCAGATCATCTTGACCATGTCTACATACCTAAATGTATTGAGTTACTGCCCTGTGATTGGCTGATAAGAAATTTATGTTAACGAGCAGTTGGACAGGTGTAACTAAACACTTAATTAAAAAAATATATTTTAAATTCAATAAATAATCCAATGAATAGAGTGTGACTCCTATTTTAAAATGTCTGTGCTTTAATGCTATTAATTCAAACACTTCAGCAAAATAAAATGCTTTTATGCATAATGACGAACCGAAATGTTTAATTAATGTCTGTAAATAATTAAATAAATAGAAAACAAAATAAAAGCAAAGTAAATAAAAAGTAATAAACATTTTAAAAAACAAAATGACAAAAAAAACTAAATGCACAACATTAAAATAGAAGATTTTAACTATAACAAAAAACTAAATTTACTTCATCACCAATGCCCCATCTTGAAAGCCCACCTTTTTAGCCACTTTCAATCAACAGCATAACAGCTAACCTACTTGCATTTCATAATTAGGAGTAAATTTGGTTGCTAATGCAGGTCATGCTGATTAAATAAACAAATCAAAGTACATTTTAGTATCACACAAATGTTATTTAACTAAACTGTGGGTCTGTGTGAGCAGCCATGCAGACATGACTTGGCCATTTTGTTTTGTTTTTTTGTTATGTTTTGCGCTGAGGGCTGTAGGTCTGTTCACCCCTCAGCCAAAGACAGATGACAGCAGAGACTGAAGCGCTTTTCTGCCGTCTTAACAGATGCATCTGTTAACATAGCGGAAGTTCGGCCATCTGCCCTCATTACATCCTGAGAGCTTCTGGGATTGACATAGACCAGAGTGCTTGGTGAAATAATTAGTCACACATTTCTAAAGAGAACAGCTGCATGTGATGAGGTAGTCTTCCATTGCAGATTAAAAAAAAAGCGGGGTTATAACTTGTGATTTCATCAAAGATTTTACCAGGCAAAGTTTGTAGGAAATAAAAAAGCTACTTATTTAAAACGTTGCAAAGAAGAAGATTTTGGTTGTGCAGGTGGAAAGTCTCTTCACATTCCAATACTAATGATTAAAGTACATGATCTAAATGTATTTATATGTATTTATATGTATTTTTATATTCTGAGTAAGGCATAAGACTAAAAATCATCCAATTAAAATGTGTTGGGCTGACAATTTCCATAATTCTGATATATATAGCCGAAACTGGCTGTCAACAACTGTAGATTTGTACGTCTGCAACCGTTCATGCAGATCTGCCATTAGCGTGTGCACATGCACCGCATTCATGTGCACAGGAGACAGAGAGTCACATTGGTAAAAACAAATGCTGAATCAAAACTTTTTAAAATCCTGAATCAATATTGGAGTTAGTTTTGCATGCTGGAGGAAGGACGACACCATGGCTGAAGTATTTCTCTTAGACAGGTAATGTTCTGTTTTGAAACAATTTTAGTCAAGCAAAGCCTATGTAGATTTTATTGCTTTACGAATGGGTTATATCAGGGGTCACCAACCCTGTTCCCGGAGAGCTACTGTACCTTCCTGCAGATTTTAGTTGCAACCCTGACCAAACACACCTGTTTGTAATTATCAAGTGCTGCTTTAGGTACTATTAATTGGTTCAGGTGTGTTTGATCAGGGTTGGGACTGAATTCTGCAGGAAGGTAGCTCTCCAGGAACAGGGTTAGTGACCCCTGGGTTATATGTACAGAAGTGTTGTTCAGCCACTAAAATCTTTCAGCGAAAGGTTGATGTATCTATTTTCAGTTTCATAAGGGACTTTTTCAGCCTCAATAATGTAGATTTTATTTAGTTTAACAACAAAACATCAGTAAATAGCACTATTTCACCCAGCCTGCTTTACTGAAGTGAAGTTAGTTCTAAATTCACATTATTTCATTTTTGCACAATGACAACCTGTGATGCGCTTGTTTACCATGCTAGTCTGAAAGATCGCCCTGAAATGCAAGTAGGGCTTAGTAATGAGTGTAATTTCTGCACCCTGATGGCCAACCACAAAGCATACAGTAGTCGCTTTAGGACAAAGTGTGAGAGAGTGAGAGCAGCGATCCTTGCATGCATGAAATATTGCACATCAAGTCTTGCTTGCTAACTACACAACTGAAAACATGCTCAATATAATGCAGTTTTTCGTTGGGAACTGTAGTATTATAAAGTATAATAAATTTTTCTAACTGGCGAATATCATGATCTAGTGGGTTATCCACTGTCATTTTAAAGGTGCGCGTTCGTTTTTCAGGAGATGTGGCTTTGGCAGATCACCTACTGCACCTTTAATTACCATGTGCAATTCTATTTTGCCGATACTTGCCAAAAATGTATCCAATAATTTTAATTTACATACAAATGAGCAATACAACAAACAATTCATTGTAAAAGAGGCAAACTAACACAAGAAATTCTAGTATTGCAAAGCTTCAACCCCTCTTACTTTCATTCATTTTCTTTTCGGCTTAGTCCCATTATTAATCAGGGGTCACCATAGCGGAATGAATTGCCAATTCATCCAGCATATGTTTTACACATGGGCTGCCCGTGCAGCTGCAACCCATCACTGGGAAACACCCATACACTCTCATTCACACACATACACTACGAACAATTTAGCTTATTCAATTGACCTGTAGCGCATGTCTTTGGACTTGTAGGGGAAACTGAAGCACCCAAAAGAAAATCCACGCGAACACGGGAAAAACATGCAAACTCCACACAGAAATGCCTGACCCTGTTTAACCAAAAATCGAACGCTGAAAATCAAGGGGACTATTATTTTGAAATGCTAATCTTTCAATACTTATTGAACTTAACTGACTTATTTATTTTTTAACATGCAGTGAGCATTTTATGCATTTGAAATTACAATATTCATGCCTAAACAATTTGTATTATTAATGTGATTTATGAAGCCACATTATGGTATGGTTAGGTTTGGTTTTGCCTAGATCACTTTGCATTTCCACTACAGTTTAATATTGCTTAAAGTGGATGGGATTATCGTAATAGTAAGTACAAAAAGTGCCTTTAGATTTGATTTTCATGTTGGATAATTCTCAATGGTGATTACAGACACCCGTTATGCTCATTTGGCATGAAACACATCTAACAGTCTGGAATTAAGGACTCACTGTTTTGACAGTGGATTCCCTCGAAGCCCACTGGACACTTGCAGATGTATTCGCTGAAAACGTCTCCTCGTCGAGAGTTGGAGATGATCTCGCACACGCCATCATTTTTACAGGGGTTTGGGTTGCAGGGGCCTGGGAGAAAAAATTAGATGAGAAATGACTAGCCTTAGTGGGTACAATGCTGGAATAACTGTACTGAAGAGATGGGCAAGAGGAAAAAGCCTACAATCTGGAACTTAAAAGCGTGCGATACAGTTTTGCAGCCTGTTTACAAAAACATTTTGCTGGCATACTTTTAATCCAAGTTTACTTCGTTTCATCAGTTGAGTGTTTGAAATAACAACCAGGTGTAGTTTAATATCGCATAAATCAGAAAAAAAAATCATACTAATTTCAATAAGGGATATATTGATTAACATTGCATTATAAATATACTTATTTTTCTAAAACTTCAAAGATCCATGCTGTAATAATTTACTAACCTTTTATAAAATTAAAGCTTACAGAAAGAAAAATACTTTCTTAAATTGAATGACTTCTTATTAATAATAATAATATTATTTAGTCATAAAAAGGTGCAAAACAGTCAATAACAGTGGTGTGACAGATAAATATATACATAAACGTATTCACTAACAGTCGTAATAATTCATAGTACCCGAATGAACCTATGTTATTAGATTAATCTACCTCAAAACTCCTTGAAATGTTCTGATTGACCAATCAGAGTCAAGTTATTCAGAGAGCTGTGTAATAAGTGTTTTTAACTTCTTTTAATTTATTTTAAGAAACAGCTACTGCTCGACGTCTTTATTGCTGTTTTGTTTGTTTGTTTACACTTTATTGTCCCCAATGGGAAAATTTGTCTTGGACTCTAAGCCCACATTTGCATACACTGAACAAAATCAGACTTAAAAAACACAAATAAACACAATCATTCAATCATCAACACAAATATTACATATTAAAAAATCTAATTAATGTAAAATAAAGGTAAACTGTATCTGCACAAATGCAACCTGTATTGTCGACCGAAAGGCAGTTACTCGCAAAATAAACTGTGCGAGAGGTCAGCTAATATTTTAATGTCTTTGTCCCAAACTTATGGCTCATTGAGAGATTGTAAGAATCGGTATTCCCTTTTCCCTATGATTCTCATGGCTTCACCAGCCCTCCAAGCTTAACTTTAGATTCAACTGTTATGATGCTCTCTATATGTTTATATCAGTATGATTAAAACAGATAATACATTACATGTGTGTTCATAAAACTTGATAAAGATAATATTTCTAGATAATAATTCGCTAAAAATAATAATTCTCTCTAAAAATGCAGGATTTTATATATCTAATTGGATACACATGAATCATCATCATTGATATCATTATTGCTATAAATACCAGAAAATATTGTATGTTAAATAGAGAAATTGTCAGAAAATTGGAACACAATTGCCCATTCTTACAGTAGTCTGTTTTAAATATAAGACTGTTACCAATCTGAGTCTCGTTGCAGGTGTTTCCAGTGAAGCCGTCAGCACAAATGCAGATGTAGGAATCTTTTTCTGCTCCAGACACACAGGTACCTCCATTCAAACACACATTTACTTTGCAGAAGTCAGCTGAGAAAAGACAAAGGAAGAGAATTTGAGATTACACCCAGTGTTATTGTATTATTCCATTCCAACTCAATTGGCCTTGCTTAATAAACATTAAAAGACTCAATAGCTTGCTTAAACTTTTGTTTTTGTTTATGCAAAATTAATTTAAGAATGACAAAAAAATCATAAGCAAGCTCAATTTGGGTTTAATTCGGTTTAATTTCAGCAGAAATTTGTGAGGGGATGTTTCTGTTTTTTTTTAAAAAGGAAGTAAAAACATTGGGTTCACAGTTTGGTCATGTTTTTATAAGGGTTGGACATGATGGATATTGGCCAAATTGCTGACGGGGCCTTAAGTTTCGTTGTGCATTGAAGTCCTTGTTGTCTATAGCAAAATAGTTTTGTGGTAATCTTATTATAAAATCAATAATGGAAATAAAAAGGAGAGTTTACAATCAAAATATTAAAGGGAATAAAGTATGTAAAAATAATAAAAACAATATTTAAAAATTTAAACGATAAAATAAATAAACAAAAAAGTACCTGGGTTTTAAAGACACAGTACACTATAATGCACCAACAATTCATTATTGTGAGCAATGTGGAGGCAGAGTGAGGGTTTAAAAAGTCAAATTCAAAAATGCAGTGGGCAAATCCACAAGTGTCTTATCTGGAACACATTAGCTCTGAAGGACATGGGAGAATTTCTTCATACAGCATGAAGCTGGTGAGAAGATTTACTAAACCAGCTATAATTATGCAACTGATAAATTACTGCAGAGTGTGAAAGCTAGATTATGCTTTGCATGACAAGACACTGCGATGAGCTAATATTAGAAAAACTCTTCCCTGGATTCACCAACATAGAAACTTTGGCCCGATATCAAAAATTTATTTCGATATTTTGAGAGTTAATAACGATATAAATGCTAATAAATACATTTATTTGTACTTTTTACAACAAATTAAATAAAACATGTATATTATTCCTTTTCGAAATTAACTAATAGCTGATATCTAGGGCTAATAACCAATAATGTTGCTATAATTGGATGCCAATAGCCGATATATCGACTGATATATAAATGTAAAGTCTTTCTACAAAAAAGTAAAATACAACACACGTATATCTTTTCTTTTTGAAATTAATTGATAGCTGATAACTAGGGCTGATAACCAATAATATAGCTATAATTGGATGCCAAAAGCCGATATTTCGGCTGATAAATACATTTTAAAGTCTTTCTACAAAAAAAAAAACCAACACGTACATCTTTCCTTTTCAAAATTAATTGGTAGCTGATATTTAGGCCCGATAACCGATAATATTGCTATAATTTGATGCCGATAACCGATATATTGGCTGATTAATAAATGTATAGTCATTTTACAAAAATAAAAATCTAACACATGTACATCTTTTCTTTTCAAAACTAACTGGTAGCTGATATCTATTGCTGATAACAGATAATATTGCTATAATTGGATGCTGATAACTGATTTATCGGCTGATAAACACATTTTTTGTACTATTGCAAAAACAAAATACAAAACAACTACATCTTTCCTTTCCCAAAATCATTTACATCTGACATGTAGGGATTTTTAGGGACATCTTGGCCAATACCGATAAGTGATAGCTCACTCATAACTTGTATTTGTACGCTGATAACCAACATTGATAAATCATGATATTCATTTTTCTGACCCTGACAATGAAAACTAAATGTCAAATACTGTGAAAAGATTTGCTTTCAATTTATTTTATTATTTGGAATGAGAGGAGAATAAAGAAATCATAATATAAATAGAACAAACTTTATATAATACAACTCAATAATATTAAAATAACATGAGGGTAAGCAAGTAAAACACCATATGCACCAAAAAAAAAATTGCATAGCCTGTCCAAAATACCACAACCAAGACACTCAGCAGAGTTTATTTGAGGTGAACAGCTCTCCAAATGATAATTAGCCCAAGTTTCAGCAGCAGATTTCAACTGTATGTAGTCATTTGGCGCCAAGACATCATTTGGCAAACAGGCTCCTCTAATTGTGACAAAAGGCAACGGCCTTCAAGCTCAGGGTCAGAACGTTAAAACCACGGCCTGCATAAACACAAGGTTTTCTTACCCAAACGACTGCCATGTTTATCTTTGGAAAGGAATGCATCCTTCTTTTCACGCTGTACCAGAAGGCTGAAATCACAATTCCCTTCGCTCCTCTAAAAGAAAGCAATTTTTGGATCCTGAAATCGTTTTTTTTCTCCTGTTGGAGTTTGCAGAATATCTTTGATAAAGTGTGACAGGAATAAACTGTTTAGCAGCTCAGATCAACTCATCCGGCACTGATAAACACTGAAAGCTCCTCTGGGATCAGAAACTATAAGGACAGCGGAAGCTTTCAGTCATGTTTTTTTTTTTGCCGATGGTTAAGATAAAGTTGATGGGAAGTGAAAGTAGTTCATTGTGGATTAATTGGAGTTACACTTCTGCTTTTGTTTTCATAAAAATGGAACTATGAAACTGGTTTGGTGCTTTGAGGGAATTTTTTTTGGGGGCAAACCCTCTAACAGGAATAGTTATCAAAATTGTTTACTCACATGACTCACATGTCCACATTGTTCAGTGGAATTAATTAAATTAAATGAATAACAAATAACTACCAATAAAACATGCTCAAACTAGTTTTTTTTCTTTTTGATTACATAAACATAAAACTAATTGCTGAAGTGTACTTTAAACTTTTTTCTCGTTTCTTTTAAATTTATTTGATTATAATTAATACATATACATGCAGTGGTGTGAAAAAGTGTTTGCTCCTTACTGATTTCTTTTTTTTGTTTGTTGATGTTTGTAAATAGTAAATACTAGTTAGAGAGAACACAAGTCTCTCATGCAGTTTTTAAATAAAGATTTTTATTATTAAGGGAAAACGAAATACAAAACTAACTAGTGCTGCAAGAAAAGTGCTTGCCCCTTAAACATAATAACTGGTTGAGCCACGCTTAGCAGCAACAATTGCAATCAAGCCTTTTCGATAACTTGCAATGAGCCTGCGTTTGTCCATTCATCTTTGCAGAATTGTCATAACTCAGCTACATTGGTGGTTCAAGGTCACACCACAGCATCTCAATCGGATTCAGATCAGGACTGTGATCAGGCCATCAAAGGGCTTCATCCACTCAAAAGTGGACATGCTGGTGTACTTCGGATCATTGTCATGTTGCCGAATGTTTCAGGTTGAGATCAGATGGCCAGGCATTGTTCTTCAGGATATTTTGGTACACAGCACTCCTGGCAAGGTTCTCCACTGTTCCATGTTTTTGCCATTTGTAGATAATGATTCTTGTTGTGGTTCGTTGCAATCCCAAAGCTTTAGAAATGGCTTTTTAACTTTTTATATCCTGTACTAGACTGGTAGATGTCGATTATTTTCTTGCTTGTTTGTTTTTAAATTTATTTGGAACACAGCATGATTTCTGGCTTTTGAGGATCTTTTGGTCTACTTCACTCTGTCTAGCAGGTCCTATATAAGTGATTTCTTGACTGCAAACTGGTGTGGCAGTAATCAGGACTGGATGTTGCTAAATAAATTGAACTCAGGTGTGATAAGCCAAAGTTAAGTAATATTTTAATAAAGGCTTTCACACAGGGTAGTGTTATATATAGCACATTAATGACCATCACCATTTTGAAAATAATTAGAAAATTTACTTTAAAAGTATTTTAGTGTTTAAAATGTTAAAACTAATTAAGATATTATTATTTGTAATAACACAAGTTAAATAAATTTCTCTTTTAATTCATTTTATATATTGATTAATGATTTGTTTAGTTATATGACAACTTAAATTATTATCTTCACTATTTATTATTTAACTTTTAATTAAAAACTCCAATCAACATTTATTTTTAATATGGCATGATAAAATAAAAAAAAATTTAAAAAAATTAGAACTGAAACAACTAAACATTTATTTGAGTGAACAATTCCTTCAAACTGTCCCTGCGTTATGCTATATTTATGCAAACAGACAATAACTCATGTCAGCAAACACCATGATGTCTCAGCTAACATAGCAGCTAAACTTAACCCATTTGAACTGTCAGAAAAACCGTGCCTAAATCTGTTCTGGAAGTCCATCAGACAGAACTGAACACATCAGCTGAACACAGAGCAGAAACATCTGATCAGCGCCACATCAGCTGAGCTGGCCTTTTGATCAGCAAAACCTCAGAGCGGATTATTCCCTACAGGCTTTTAGAGAGATGGCTTTAGGCACTATAGTACAGTATATCATCACATGGCTTTTCTCAGAGTCAAACGTGTAAAGACAAGCAAACGGGGACAAAGCAAAGCCATTGAGCTCAGCCAGACTACAGTGAAACTGAACTGTGACTCTAAAAAAAAGAACAAGCTCAGCTCAGAATATGAGTAATAATAACCAATGTGCTGTTGACCCAGTCCAAAATATGGTGTAAAAGCATATTAAAAAACAACATATCACTGTGACTGCGCTGATATTGGAGATGTGTGTGAGCTTGAAATACAACATCCAAAAATGAACATTTTGCAGCAGACATGCATGAGTCTGGGTAAAAATAAGGATTCGATTTTTATTATTATATAAAGGTAGTCAGATGTTAGGTTTTGCAGTCTATTTAACATCCAAAATACATTGATTTAATTTTTAATAGAAAACTTTATAACTTTATTATTTATTACTTTGTTAATATATAACTCTTTAATTGACTTGTTTGATCACTGGGCCATAAGTATTTTTGAATGAATCTTTAAAATATGGAAGACTGTTTCTGCCAATGATAAAAACAAACAGCAACATTTACAATCAATTACAGAATTCTGAGTTTATATTTTGCAGTTCAGATTTTTTTGTTTGTTTATTAATAATAATAATAATAATAATTCCTTACATTTATATAGCGTATATTATTTCCTGGACACTTAAAGCGCTTTACACATAGGGAGAATCTCCTCACCCACCACCATGTTACA